CGAGTGCTTTTCTGGATTTACCTTCATCAGGAACGCTCAAAGCCAAATATTTGAAAGCTATGCTATTGGTTCTTTCATTTGAGTTTGTGTAATGTCGGGCACTTTTTTGGCTTACTATACAATATAAACTTTTCTCATTGTTGATTTTTAGTTATTTATATCCTCGTCTTTTGGTCTCTGGTGAAAATATGTCTCATTTGCAATCATAACATCTTCTTATTTTTTTTCAACTCTTATTGTGAAAAACACACTCACAGTAGGGATAACTGCTTTCAACAATCTTACGTAAACCACACCTAAATTTATTTGTAAGACTATTTTAGTACAATTAAAGTTCACCCTTAACTCACGCAAAAACTTTATTATTCTCATTAATTTTGCACGCACAATCAAATTTATAGCCTCTGTCAGGCTAGTAATATTTAAACTACCAAATCTATGATATGATAACTGTGTATATAAATAAACATAAGATAACCGCCATTTTGTCATAATAATTTTGTTTGTGTTGCTTTGCTATAATCTATATTCTGCAGCTTCGAATTTGCCGAAGAACTTGCCTAATATGGGTGTTTTTATTATAGCCATCACAACTGTAGTAGTTGCTACAATAGGAATATTTTCACCAAAAGATTGGCTTATGGAAGGGTATGGCTGTCCAAAAAGGTGGATTCTACCCGGAACTTCAAATGGTAAAACTATACAATTACTGCAATACACATATGCTGCAGATATACCCTGAAATTTATAAATGAAATTGAAAATAAAGATGCCACAGTGAAAATTGACAATTTGTTTTCAATTTCGCATAGAAATACATTGTTTTAATTAATTAAACTATAAATAATCAATTATTTTTAATGATGTGAACTAATTAGAGGTGCAGTTATAAAACACGAATATATACTTTGATTGGCTAGTTAAATGTTTTAAGACCTTCTTTATGTAGTTAATCATACAGTGTTTATAACAGTTTTTCATCAAGTCCTTTAGGGACGCCGAACATTTTTCTTCCCCTTGTCCAAAGGACCAGGGATAAAGAGAATTTTTGAATAAAGCAAAGTGTGAAAATATTGCTTTCAGGTATATATAGTATAGCGTTTAACGTCTATATGTGTAACGGCTTATTACCTCCTCTGTGATACTTTTTCCGGATATTATTCTTAAAATCTGTGATATTAATTTCCGATTACAATACAATTGTTTTTTTTTTTTGGTATTTTTAGCACTGCTATAGCCTCTTTTAATTACTCCTTTAAGAGTCCATAGTATTTGCAAAGATTTGGATTTTTATTGACTTTTCCGTATTTTTACTTTTAAATATGACTTCTTTGGCTCAGTGTTACTAATACATTATTTTTGAAGGGTACACGATGTATTTTTTAAATTTATTAATTGTATATGTTAGCGGTAATAAGTAAAATTAGGCATTAAGCTTAAATCCTAGGCAATAAGCTAACGCCTAGTCATTAAGTTATTGCCTGAAATTTTCAGGGATTAAGCTTATTTCCTGAAATATGATGATGATTTTTCAACCTATTGCCAAACATCATTTCAGGCAATAAGTGATTTATCTTCCAAGAACATGTACATTCGGTGAAATATTCATATATTATAATAAACATTCATTTAACAGATCTTTAAATTTAGTATTTTTCCATACTCATAGCAGAATTAACTTGTATTTCTTTGTGGAACTACAAACATTTATATATTTCAAACAAGTGATTGTATCTTATGAAAGGAGAGAGTATTGAAGATTCTATCTGCAAATTTTTCGAAGAAAAATTCACACTTCATTGGTCGAGCTGGTTTCGGTCCGGTAAAAAGTAGACAAATGTAGATATGAATTTTTGTTCACATTATCTTTCCATAATTAATTTTATGAGATATGTAAAAAATACTGTAAAAATTTTTGTTGAATATCCCCTGTCCCTCTTGTCTTTTTCACTTCTTCGTCTGGATTATTATCATTGAAGTGACATGCTACTGAAGACAAATTTCTTGAATATTTGAATACTGGAAAACAAGGAGCATATACCCAAGACAGTACATGTACAATTATCTTTTGGCAATTGAAATATTCAACTTTTAACTATTATAATGCCAAGAAAAGACGGCAACTATAGACTACTACATTTAATAAAAAGGTATGACATTTTTACCTTCGGGGGCTTTGAAAGGTTGATAAGTAAAGCAAAGGAGAATGATGAGAAAAATTTCATAATTTGTGTTTTTCTAGAAAAACTGTCTGGTACTTTGGAAAAGGCACATAAAAAGGTCATGACGACAGAGACAGTATGAATAAACAACGTATTAATGAATATGCAAATATTTTTTGTAATTCCATTGCTATGCAAATATTTCTCGAGATTCCATCGAACTATTTCTTTCACCTTGGGGAAAATTATAACATGAAAAAAAGTATTTAGGGGAGGGAGTAGTAGTGAAACTCATTTTATCCAAAGAGTTCAACAGTAGAGGACAGGCTGATATAATTGATTTCCTGTCAACCCAAGATGGAAACTATAAATTTCTTATGATGTACCAAAATCACCTAACAAAAGTATGTTACATTAGAATTCTTACGCCAAATGTGCTTCAGAATTTTAGTAAGGGGCCAGCTGAGGACGATCTCCGGGTGCGGGATTTTCTCGCTGCATTAAAGAACCATTGGTGGCTCTTTGGTCGGGTTGTCGTCTCTTTGACATATTCCCCATTTCCATTCTCAATTTTATTCAGAGGTGACTTTGGATTTATTGATGTTTTCACAATTTTTGGTGCGCCCCATAAACTGCAAAATGACAATGGTCTAGAATTTACAGCTTTAGTTATATCCGAGTTAAAAACTAAAGTGGTCAGAACTTGCGGCTTTATTTCAGGTATTTGACATTTTAAACGACAGTTCTTATCATGTTATAATGTACCAAATGTATCTTAACTTTGAATCAATGTCTTTTTTTATTTACTGGCATTTTCATTTTAGACATTAAGATTAATGCCTGGACACATTTTTCTGGATTTAAGCTTAAATCCTAGGAATTAAGAATAATGACTAACATCATTCAGGCAATAGACTTACTGCCTAGGCGTTAGCTTATTGCCTAGGTTTTAAGCTTAATGCATAATTTTATTTATTGCCGCTAACATATACATATTTTTTTGATTAAATATAGATCAGTTCATTTAAGAACGTTAAAAGCGGATTAATGTTAATCGAAATCTAAAACTCATTAGAAGTATTTAAAAAGTACACCATACGTATAAGGTTCGTATGAGGTATATTGGTATAAAAGCTGAAGGCAGAAAGTGTAAGCTATGTTAGAACGCAGTTGCAGATGAACTACATTTTCTTTTAAAATGTCCTGTTCTAAAAGATACAAGATCTCAACATCTGTCTAATTTAAATTCTAAATTCAAAATGTTTTCGAAGTAATCTGATGAAATAAAACTTTTTTGGATTCTTTCATCTGAAGATTTGTTTGTTACTTCAAACTTATCTAAATTATTGCACTCCCTTTTTGAAGAACGAACGAAACTTCTAGAAAATATCAATGTAGTTTAATATAATACAATCGATCAGGAGTTGTAAATTGATTTAAAAATGTAATTTCTCCAGGTCACAGTGACTTCCAAAATAACTTAATTTTTTGTCAATGACATTGTTTATAATTATGTTACTTTGTTTAAATTGTATATACATGTTTGTTTAAGTGTACTTTAAATCATTCAAATCATTCTAATCATTCACTGTTCTTTATTTTGTAATTCATTTGATTGTGTAGCTAAATTTTTTTACGATATCTTGTACCTTGTATCTTGTATGTAAAAAAGGCATCGCACATCTTGACACGTAAGAGATGAAGGTCTCTGATTTGACTTTAAAACAAAGGCAATAGTCAATTTCAACTCTATAATGCTATGAAACTATGTTACACCTTTTTCAAAAATGATTCTGAATACTGTTCACTAAATTAATTTGTTATTGTTTTTTGATCACCATGTGTTTGCCAAGCCTCTGTTATGACGTGACGCCAAAATGAGGCTAGTGTGTATAGCGATAAATCAATAAGCATATTATATTATTGCCACATACTAGGTGACATTACTTCATAATGTGTTGCCATCAACCTTTTAATACAGAGTATGTTCAGTATTTCTACAAAGTACAAAGTTCGTGCTTATACCTCCTAACTCGAGATTGTGTAATCGAAAAAAAGTATAGGCTATAGTTTGTCCTTTAAAAGAGTGAATGGCGATTTTCCTTCAAAAATTACAGGCTGCTTTGATCATTCTCTTATTCTGGGTATTTTAGGCTGCACGTGTGATCGAGAACGCTTAGAAGTCTGAACGGACGACTGTGATGAAGAAGTAAATTAAGGAAACTGATATTTTTTTTTGATGACTTTACCTTGTAATCCATTTTTGGTAATATTCTTTTGGCGTGGTTCGGTACTTATACATCCCGCCATTGTGTTATTGTGCTATGGTCATTTTTTGTATTCTTGTTTTTCATTTTTTCTTATGTGCTTTGTCTATATGCCGATTTGTTTTTCTTTGAGGGCATATTAGTTTGTTTTTATAGTGATTAAGATAATAAAACAACGTTGACTGCTGTACCCTAATTTTTGACAATTTTACCTATCGTGTCTGTTCGTTTTGTTCACACATTGTTGTCAATGGAATTTTATACGACTGTCATACAAGTGAGAGGTTTAGCTAGCTATAAAACCAGGTTTAATCCACAATTTTCTACATAAGGAAATGCCTGTACCACGTCAGGAGTATGATAATTGTTTTCCATTCGTTTGATGTGTGAGCTTTGGATTTTGCCATTTGATAAGGGACTTTCGGTTTTGAATTTTCCTTTGAGTTCGGTATTTTTTTTTTTTTTTATTTTACTTTTTTCCAATAATATTGGTCTATAACCATATTCGGGAAAAGTTCTTTTATTAATCGATTTCATGGTACTCAAGAGAAAATTAGAACTACTTCCCGTCAAGCCGCGGCTGATATAATTTCCATTTATGTGCGTATGAAACGTCTAGCGTGACGTTGGTTTCATTCCCTGCTAAATGAAAAGACGACATCGAGATATAAATAAGGATAACCATTGACGTTTTCAATGTCATTATTTTTTTTAAAGTTTCAGGGCTTTCGAACAGTTTAGAAGATAAGGTGTATGGACAACATGTTGCTCAAAAAGCCGTCCTTAGCCACATAAAAGCCCATATGACTGACCAAAATCCACCAAAAGCATTATCTTTGGCATTCCATGGTGGAACAGGCACAGGAAAGAATTACATAAGTTCAATCATTGCTGAAAGTCTATACACAAATGGAATGGAAAGTGAATTTGTCCACTTCTTTTCATCATCACACCATTTTCCTAACAAAGAAGATATAATACGCTATAAGGTAAATTTATAGCATCTATATATTGATTTCCACCTTAACCTTAAAGTTTCAAATAACAACATATGGCATGTGTTTTAACCTGCATACAAAGTTAAATCACATAAATACTGAAAAATACAAATGACTATGAATGATAATTTAGCCCAAGGGTATCACCAGCCCAGTTGTCAGTACTTTGGTACTGGCCTGAAAATACCGATATTGATTTTAGAAATTTGTTGTTACAAAGTTTTAGAAATTATTTTAAATTATGGAGTATATCTTCCCCATGAAAAGCTCTGATTCCTTGCTCGGCTTTGGAAATACTATTTGTCCTTTTTTGGTTTTATCAGATCTTCAAGTGTTGAATAGGTCTTGGATTTGAAAATATTTTGATCTCGAGCATCTCTGAAGAGACATTGAAATCAAAATGCTCATCTGATGGAGTAAAACTGGTACCGTTAATGTTACTTAGATTGTTTGTAAAAGCCATGTTTTAAAATACATCAACCTGCAATACTAATAACCCATCAAAGATACCAGGTTTATAGTTTGGTACGCTAGATGTTAAAGTGCTTCTTTGGTTTTGCTTTTCTGAGACTTTTAATTTGTAGACGAACTCGTGTCAGGCGTACAAAATCTTAAGCGTGGTATCTATGATGAGTTTACATTTACATATTTCTACACGATACTGCAGTTTATTATCACCTTAAAGATAAGTGATTGGTTAATTCTCAGGCGACTCTAAGAATGCAGTTAACATGCATCAATAAATTTTTTCATAGATGTTTTAATTTTATTACCCATAACTTGAATGGAAAAAAAATTGCAGTGTAATAATATATAATTTCATCCTTCCTAAAATTTGAAAAAAAAAAATGTTTGAAATTTCAATTACCGATTGATAACTATTAGTAATATAGGATGTCCCATAGGGTTACACTGTCCATCCATGCTTCCGCCTTAATATTATTTTATCTGAAAACGGAAAAAAAATAATTAGTTTACTCTTTTTTCCACAATAGGATTTAATTAACGTCTTTTCATAAATAATTAAGAAAAACCATATACAAAGATAGGCTACCACAACATGCCACTTAGTGACTGGATAATTAACTATATTTCAGCATTAGTTATAAAAATATTCCTAGCTTAAAGAAATTATACTACTGTAACACTTACTCCGATAATAAAGTTTCTCCTGTGAATTCTTTCATTCTCTCACTTAACTTCGTCCTAAATATTTGTTATGAAATTTTGTGTTTCTGAATTTCTCTGATTGTAAAGCAGTATCCGTTACTTGTAAACACTAGTAGATAACTTCTCTGTTGGTATGTGGTAACAATCTTTTCGGTAAGCTATCTCTTATTGCCTCCACATGCTACTTCTTTCTTTAGATACAGGAGGACATAGATTTTCTCTCTGTTGTTAGTTCAAAGACATTATTTACAGGCAAGTGCAGTTTTCAAACAAAATTTACAAGTTAGGTGACTATCTAATGGCTTCATGTTAGTAGATTTGTTGACATAAACAGGTAGTGTACTGTTTTGTTAAGAGGTAACATACTAACAAAAGATCAACAATTACGACTGAAATCATTTGTTTTTCGCTATTTCTCTCAATTTCTTTTATTGTAAGTTATCGTGACAATATTATTTGTAGGCTTAGGATTGTCCTGCCCAATTAAATTAATTGAGAGGGGTTCATATCGAAAGACAATCCTAGAGATGACAAGAGAAATAGAAAAATAAATGGTTTAATATATAAAATACAACAAAACAAAAAAAACAAGCATCAAAAGTACTTAAACTAGTTCTCATCGTGATAAAAGCCTTCTACTAGTATTTGATTTTTTTAATCAGTGTTCAAGAGTAAACAAAAACTTAAATCAGAGACTTAATTCATATTGGTATTTTTTAATGCATTATATTTTTTCTGATGAAAAATGAATTGCAATACGTATTATTAAAAGCAGTTAATTTTTTGCTAATTCAGAGCACATGTATATATATTTAAATACTCATAGTTGAGTAAAATTGTTTTTTCTCTTAAACTGCTGAATATCAAAATGATCATGATCTGTTATAAACCACGATAAGTTAATCACGTTAATGATTAGATAATTATCTATGTAGAAAAAAATGTGCAAATTGAAATACCAGTCTAAGATTTTTGTCTTTCGTCCGAAGCTCTTTTTTATATGGTATATCTTCATCAGGAAAACGCAAGGCCAACCCTTTGAATGTTTAGAATGTATTAGATCTAACTTCCTAATGCATGTAGAGTAAATCTTTGGTTAGCTTGCTTGCTTTGTTTGTATATTGTACAATTGTAATTGGGATAACATTCAATTAAATGTAGATATAATATATACAGGTTTAACTATGACTATCTATATTGTTTGCAGATGCCAATCTTAATTACAATGCTTGAGTTAACGTTTATATAAACAAAGCAAGCAAGCCAACCAAAGTCTTACTCTACAAGCATTAGGAAATTAGCTCTAATACTAGATAACTTGAGGAGCTATATAACCAACCGGGATAAAAACGAATAGTCCAAGTTTACCTGGGGGGAGTTGGAACTTCTCAACGGTTTCTAAATCTAAACTATAAAATATTAATTTTCTTGCAGACTGATCTCCCCAAATTTATTGAAAGGGGTGTTCAAAAGTGTAAACGATCGCTTTTTATATTTGATGAGGTAGATGAAATGCCAAAAGGATTGATGAATACAATAGCACCTTTTATGGATTATTATCAAAATATAGATGGAGTCAACTACAGACAAAGTATATTCCTGTTTATAAGGTATACATAAGTATTTATCTGTATCTTTATGAAACAGAGGTTTTTGTTTTAACAATGAGTGAGAATTCATTTTTGAGTGTTCAGATACAGATGCAGTTTTTACTTGAATTGAGCATACTTATAGTTTGCTTACTGTCCGGGCTAGGTTCGTGTTTATTTAGTCATTCACCCGAATGTTTTCGGTGTGACTACGTTTCTCGTGTGAATATGATTTAAAAATTTTCAGACTTCTTTTCTCGTTAGACATGAAACTGAATCTTGCAATACATGCAGAAGGTTCTTCAGTATTTTCGATAAAACATTATTATATATCATATATTATCGTTGGTTTTAACGGTTAAATATACGCATAAAAAGCTATCATTCACAGAACAAACTTTGTTTTCACCTAAACACTCTGAAACCAAAGGAAATGCACTCTTATAACATATATTTCCTCACCTGAAAGGACCCTTTATATAAAATTATTTTTGTTTGCATAAATAACACATTGTGAAAATAAAATAATTTTCCCTATTCCTGTTTTATATAAGACATATGTTTATAGATTCTAGGTGCTGAAGTTGAGTATCATTTTATTTACTTTACAGTTTTCCCTTTATTTGTATTTGTATTGTTCTGTTTCATTTGGTAGTGTGACTTTTGGCGTGGCTCAGTGTATGTGTATCCCGCTTTGGGGTTATTGGCATTGGATATTCCTGGTGTGGATGGGTCCTTAGATGCGATTCGGACGCGGGACATTTTTACAGTGTTGTTTCTATTTTGTTTCTATTGTATTTATATTCTACTTGGTTTGTGCTTTGTCGAGAGAGTGTATGCTATGTGTGCCATGTGTTGTAGGCTATGGTTTTGTTTTTTTATCGGCGTCTTTATCAACTTACCATCAACTTCAAAGACTTTTTTGTTGGTGTCTTTGTCAAATTTACAATCAGCTACAGCAACAATTTTGTTGGCGTCTTTGTTAGATTTTTTGTATTTCTGTGATGTATACTAGTCAACAAAAGAAACGATACAAGACAAAGTATTTTCAATATATAATAAAATTGGATACACTGTACCAAGGTAAATAAAGGCAACAGTAGTATACCGCTGTTCGAAATTCATAAATCGATTGAGAAAAAAACAAATCCGGGTTACTAACACACAACAGAAACACAACATTAAAATGTAACACACACAGAAACGAACTATAATATAACAATGGCCATTTTCCTGACTTGGTACAGGATATTTTAAGAAAAAAATGGTGGATTGAACCTGGTTTTGTGGCTAGCCAAACCTCCCGCTTTTATGGCAATGTTAAATATAACATTAAAATGACAACAGTACATGACAGGACTACAAGACAAATAAATGGGAGAACATATAGGACAGAGAAACATACGAATAATAGCTAACAAAAGGTACCAGGTTTAAAATTTAATACGCAAGACGCGCGTTTCGTCCACACAAGACTAACCAGTGACGCTCAGAAAAGTACGAAAGCCAAAACAAGTACAAAGTTGAAGAGCATTGAGGATCAAAAATAATTGCCCAATTGGTCTAATATTTACAGAGTGTTATTTTCTTTTGAAAACCATTGATTTAAGGCAAATACGCGAAATTTTGTTTTGGGAATTTTTGTTACTTTGTCGTATTTTCACCCAAAAATTCAAAAATCGATGTTAGAACTCAAAACTTTAAACTTAAACATGGTCTACTTAAAATTTTGAAAGCCTTTGCAGATATTTGAATACTTAATTCTCATCTTCGAAATTAAGTGCAGACTTTTGTCATCATTTTCCGCAAAACAGATTTGACCCGTGTGTTCAATAACACGGTATTTTCTAACTTTCCTTTAATCATATGCATTTGCTTTGCAAATGAATGTTTTTCATTGGATAATTTAACAGTTTTTCCTATTAATTATGTTTAATGATAAATTTGAGTTCAAACTTGTGTATCGTTTCTTTTGTTGACTAGTATATATTTACCCAGTTTTGACTGCTGGGTCCAATTATTTGTCACATTAACCTATTATGTCTGTTTGGGTTGCTCACACAGTTTTGTCTATATAACGGAACTATAAACAACTGTCATACAAGTGGGAAGTTAGGCTAGCTATAAACAAGGTTTAACTCACCATTTCTTCGGAAAACGCCTGTAGCATGCCAGGAATATGACAATTGTTTTTTCATGCGTTCCGTTGGATAAGCTGCGGTCTCACCTTAACGGATAGCTCGAACGGACGCCGAACGGATGGAAAAAAAAGTTTTCCGTTGACAAAATTTGTATTTGTATCTGTTGGTGTACTGACCATATAAAACGGACGTCTAACGAATGGTTAACGGACACACACCGGATATGTAACGTTCGAGAAACGGAAACGTACTGCACAGAACGGATGTCGAACGTACATCCAACGGACGAGTACCGCATAAAACGGACACCTAACGAAAGCGTACCGGATAAAACGGATGAACAAGATAAGCGGGAAATTAAAGGCGGCAATATAAATACACGTAAATCACATAAACGTGACCTTGAAATAATTAAAACGTTTTCGTGTAACTGGTTGTAGTTTATAGTCTAGAAGGTTTATATTTGCAACATTTAAGTTCAGTCTGGCCTACATAAGAGCTGTTTGATAGTGAATACGTGCCCTTACTCAGCGATCCATTATGAATAATAAATATTCATGACATTCAAGAAATCTGACATACCAATAATAGGCATTTCTACCGCAAAATTTTCAATTGGCATTTATTCGTTTTACATTCGGGACGTATCTGTTTTATCCGTTATCCTTCCGTTCATGTCCGTTTCACATCCGTTTATCATCCGTCTTATTCGTTATACGTTCGTTATACGTCCGGTAGTAGTCCGTTGATGAATTGGTCTACCGGACCATCAACGGATGTATGACGGACAAGTAACGGATACAAAACGGAAACGAAACGGACGAGTACCATTAAAAACGGACGACTATCGGACATTAAACGGACACTTTATCCGTTGGACGTCCGTTGAAGTTTTGAACATGCTCAAAATTTTCCACCGGACAGAACGGACGTCGACGGATAAAACGGAAGCTGAACGGACATGAAACGTATATGGACGGACGTCTAACGGATACGAACGGACTTCTAACGGACATGAACGGATCGAAAAAAAAGTTATCCGTTCGGCGTTTGTTCGTGCTATCCGGTAAGGTGTGACCGGGGCTTTAATAATGTTTGATTTTGTCAATTTTATGGACTTTTCCCTCTTTTGAATTTACCTTGGCCTTCAATTTTTTTGTTAAACTTTTTTATACGTATATATTAATCAAAGAAAATTAAACAACCACTTATATTTCAAAACGATTTTAAAAAATAGAACAAGATCATATATAAATTCTCAAATTTATGAATCGATCAGAATATAAGGTTAATTATCTCAATAACAATAGAGAAACTTTTGAGAAAGTTGATCACATGCATCCAGATAGATCAACCCTGTTTGTATGAATGGGACACACTCGCCTTTCAATTATCAAGCCCAATGCCTTATAAATCTCTTCTCCAAATTCTTTATTTAACATTATGTACATATTATGTGGTAGTTATAGTGAAGAGGAAAATCATATTAATCAGTATTATTTTACGTGCTAGTGCAGTGTAACAGTAATATTTCTGATCATTAAAAATCGTTATAAAACAATGATTATGCAATACAACTTTTTTCTTTACAGTAACATTGGCACAAATGCATTGAATAAGAAAATAATAGAATATTTTAAGCAGGGTCTGGACAGAAAATCAATTACAATTAAAGATATGGAACACTTGATTAAGACTGACAATGAGTCAAGTAAGTACGGAAACGTGAATTAAGGCTCCGCAAGTGAAATACGTGCATTTATCATCTATTAGCACATGAATGAAACATTCACTTTATTAGGATTTTGCTGAAAAAATTAAATAATACGGAAATTTGCATTGTTCCACCAACCTGTGAAAATTAATGATGCTAAATTTTTTATACAACTATCTGACATCTTCATTATTTATCATCACGAATAAATAATGTGATTTCCTTGCATGATTTGGAGAATATTATTAAAGGTACAGAGTAGAAAAGTAGAAGGGTTTATATGTAGTTGATATGACATACTTTTAGAACTACTCCTATGTCGAATAATTTGTTTCAAATGTCGATATACCTGTCAAAATTAAATCTACTTAAAATTTAAAAAAATAAAAAAAACATCGGAAAAGATCACAGATTTCTAAATAAATGTTTATATGGCACCCTCAACGGAGTTGGGGTGACATATAGTTATTGTTCGTTTTTTTTTTATTATTATTACTATTATGTCACTCGATCGACAATGTCGGGTGACATATTGCTTTTCCTCCGTTTCTTTTTTATTTTTATTATTATTATTAATATGGCACCCTCAACGTAGTTGGGGTGACATATTGTTATTCTACGTTTCTTTTTTTCTGTTTTTTATTTTTCTTCCATTTTTTTTGTCCAGCTTATATCTCGGAATTTTATGAACCAATGTTAATGAACTATATCATAATGTTAACCAGCATGTGCAGATTTACAATCGGGGTATGGCATTTTCAAGATGACCGCTGTTACCATTGAAACAGCAATTCTGTCCAAAAAATCAATATGCACCAAAGTTAATGAAACTTTACAATAATGTTAATTGGCATGTGTAGATGCTCTCTTTGACTTTGGAATTTTCAAAATGGCTTCCGTTACCCTGGCAATGGGGGAGCGAGGGTGCCATTCGTTATTGCTAGCAAATACAAATCTAGTTATGGCACCCTCAACGGAGTTGGGGTGACATATTGTTATTCTACGTTTCTTTTTTTCTGTTTTTTTATTTTTCATCCACTTTTTTGTCCAGCTTATATCTTGGAATTCTATGAACCAATTGTTATGGAACTATACCATAATATTAACCAGCATGTGCAGATTTGCAGTCGGGGTATGGCATTTTCAAGATGGTGCCGTTACTATGGAAACAGCAAAAATGTCCAAAATTTCAATATGCTCCAAAGTTAATGAAACTTTACACAATATTGAATGGCATATGCAGATGTCCAATTTGACTTTAGAATTTCAATAAATAGCCGCTGTTACCATGGAAACATAAAAAATTAACAAAAATTCTAAATTATCCAAATTATGTTTAGATGCGCTCTTTGACTTTGGAATTTTCAAAATGGCTGCCGTTACCCTGGCAATGGAGGAACGAGGGTGCCATCCGTTATTGCTAGCAATTACAAATCTAGTTATTATTATTATTACTATTCCACCTGTCCAAGGTATTCCTGGGAATTTAGTGAACCAATCCTAATGAATGGTTACCGTAATGAGGACCACCATCTGAAATTTTGCGAACCACCTTTGGAATTTTAGAAATGACCGCCGTTATCATAGGAACGAAAAAAATGTGAAAAAAAAAATTTTTGGGGTTTGGTGAATTATTTGTGTATACTTTAACTTAGAATCATCAATGTAGGTGTCCACTATATACAGGTTTTGGATTTTTTTGACACTCATTGGAACTACTATGTTGCCATGGAAACTATAGCAAAATTTTAAATTTGCTCCTAACTTGATGAAACTTCACAGTAATGTTAGCTGGGATGTGTAGATGTGGCATTTGGCTTTAGAATTTCCAAAATCGCTGACGTTACCATGGAAACAATGCAAAAAAGGTCAAAATCCTCTAAAAACCTTTGTACCTTTAAAGTGGCATTTACTCTATTAAAGTGGTAGGTCAAACCCATTGAAACTTTGATGTACCAATGTGGCATCTTTCATTAAAATTTTGGGAATGGTCTCTGTTACCATAGAAACCAACAAAAATGTCAAAAAATTTCAAAATGCTCCAAACTTAATGAAACTTAAGATAAATGTTAACTGACAAGTATAGATGAGACTTTTGACTTTGGAATTTCCAAAATGGCCGTCGTTGCCATGGAAACTGCAAAAATTTCAAAATGCTCCAAACTTAATGAAACTTAATATCATTGTTAACTGGCAAGTAAAGATGAAACTTTAGATATTTGAATTTCCAAAATGGCCGCGGTTGCCATGGAAACGGCAGAAATGTGAAAAATTTAATAATGATCTAGATGTTCTGAAAATTTACAGAAAGATGTATACCAATGCATATGTGTGCATTCACTGTTTAAAATTTTCGAAATGGCTGCCGCTTAGTGGCAATGGGGGAAGGGTGATATCCACTATTGCTTGCAATAGCAATTCTGGTTTATATTTATTCTTCCACTCTTTTTGTCCACGCTAGTTCTCGGATTTAAAAGTACCAATATTGATGGTACTATACTATAATGTTGACCACCATGTGAATTTGTGCACCTGTCTTTGGAATTTGCAAGATGGCTACGGTTACCATGGAAACTAAATGTAAAAAAAAATCAAAATTCAAAATCTTTTGTTATAAGAGCCAACCTAATGAAACTTTATGCAAATGTTCTCAGTGGTGCACTGAGGAACCAAAAGTACGTAGAAATTCCAAAATGGCTGCCATTGTCATGGAAATGAGTGAAAAGTTTAACATTGACCCTATGTGAAAACACATTAAAGCAGCATTTTCTTTAAGAATATTCAATGAAACCCAATGAAACTTTAATGGATATGTACAATGGCATATGTCAATGCCTTATCTGTCTTTGATATTTTGAAAATGGCCACCGTTACAATGGAAACACAAATATTTTCAAAAATTACAAAATACTTCAAACTAATGAAACTTTACAGAAATGTTAACTGGCATCTGTAGTTGTGATAATTGACTTTGGAATTTTCAAAATGGCTGCCATAGCCATGGCAATGGGAAGAGGTGCCATCTGCTATTGCTTGCAATGGCAAATATCTAGTTATTGTTATTTTTCTGATATGTAGTCCAATGATTTGTAATCAGATTCATTTAATAACTGTTTAACCTTTCACTCCAAGTGTGGCACCCATTGTGTTGCTCATGTAAGAACAACCCCGATGAAAAGTTTAATTCGGCACGTTACATTAACGGACAAGAGGACGGGATTATGGTTACGACCATCGGAACATATCGTCGTCATCTGTCAAAACAGATATTCTTCCATAACGGTCAACTAACTCGTGATGGCTTCCTTAGAATTTTTAGAAAAGATAATTTCAACTTTTTCCACTTGAGACTCTTGGTTTAAGAGCTTCTCTGTAAGCAACACACCTTTATCAAGGAAATCAAGATAGGAAATGCAAGCTCTGGAATATGGTATCAACTGGGAGATATATACTCCATATTCAGACGCTGATCGGATGCTGCTACTTAGAAATTGAACGTTCACAATTGAAACGCTGAAATCATCTCTTTTTTTCCTAACCACCCCTTATTGTCAATGTAAGTCAAGATATGAGGCAGACTTAACTGTATCTGCTGTATCTCTTATTCCAAGTTCGATGGGATAAATTCGTTCAGCATAGTCACCAAACTTTGAATTTTTAGTGAAAGGGCATTATCTATATATCGTTTCGTTAAAGGATAGTGCTAGTTTCTTTCCACTCTTCCCAAGAATCTGCTGTATAGATTCAGCCTTATATGAATAAAAGAACCAGTCCACAAGAAGAGGGTTGGTTCTTATTGGAAGGCTGATTGATTGTTGAAAAACACGTCCTCCAAACGTAACAAATATGTTGTCAATCAGGAAATCATGCATCTTCTTACTGTCAGTTTAGAGAATTGTTTGCTTGAATCAGAGAGTGTTTATATATATATAAACAATTTATAAATATATATAAAGTACAAATATCTCTCCCTGAGACAAGATACTTGAATCTACGTTTGCCGTTCTTATTTGTGGAACAAATCCTTTTAATTTGTCTTTTAGTTTGAAAAAGGGAATACTTGTTTTCAATATATTTGGCAATTGTATTTTTGGGGTATGAATTGATAAAAACTAGTAAAAAGCGCATTTCTTGAGAGAAAAACAAATCTTATAGCTTGTTTACTGGTTCTATATTTAGTGAGCTTCAGTAAAAACTCTCTTGCCTTAAGATTAATGACTTAGATCAAATACATTTCGATGTATATAACTGCATTTTGGGAAAAAAGTGCAAACTATCACAGAATCCTCGAATACTTTTAATTTTTACTCATAATATTTGTATACGTAGTGAACTTTGGAAAAGACACTCCTGTCTGAAAATTGAAGAAATTTAGGAAATTCATTGCCTCCAGGAATAACCACATTTTTATATGCACTTCAATACCTAATTTAACCCTTGGATGAAATAATTTTATTATTCACCAGATTTTGGATCAGTATAAAACATATCTACACTTTTTTTTCAAATACAGAAGAGTGAGCCCATCAAGTTATAAAAATAACATTATGCATATCACCCTTAAAAAACATCTGCAAAGACAGTCAAGAAACAGACTCTTGATGAAAAAGATATTGAGTTAGAGATTGTTATAAGAAAAAAAACATAATTTACAGTTGCATACTACCCTAAGCTGAAAGTATATTCTTACGTGATTTTTAAAGTATCTTTGATTCGAGTTTACAGTGTTGAAGTTAGGAAAATATGCTCATATATGTATTTTGAATTGTGCCTTGCAAATAAGTATTTTATCGCCCTAGAAGACTTTTCAGTGAAAGATTCACGGAGTGACTTAGTGTCTTCTATGGTAAAGTAAACATAAAACAAAGTTGCCAACTGAAGGAAAAAACGACACCCTTTCTCCCCCTTCTCCCGGATTATAAGTAATAGCAAGAAACAATATTAAATCACGCGGAGTATTTCCAATTCTCTGTCATAAAATCGGCACATATCATTACAAAACCAACAGTGTTCGTGTTCTTGTCGACTTGTTCCATTATTCATATGAGGCTGACTTCACACAGCAGTTTCTTAGGAAGAATGAAAAGAAGCTAGCATTATCCTTTTACTTGACGTTCCGCTATATAGATGATGTCCTCTCGCTAAATAATTCAATGTTTGCTTACTATGTTGAGCGATTCTATCCCACCGAACTCGAAATAAAGGATACAACAGAAACAGTTTAAATCTGTCTCATATATAAAATTGTCAATGAGGGTCGGTTGACCGTTATGTTTGTTTGTATAGTGATTAAGATTACTACACAATGTTGATTGCTGTACCCCTATTTTTTACATTTTTACTTATTATGTATGTTTGTTTTGTTCACACATCGTTTTCAATATAATGGAATTTTATGCAACTGTCATACAAGTGAGAGGTTTAGCCAGCTATAAAACCAGATTTAATCCACCATTTTCTACATAAGAAAATGCCTGTACCACGTTAGGAATATGACAGTTATTATCCAATCGTTTGATGATTTTGAGCTTTTGATTCTGCCATTTGCTTAGGGACTTTCTGTTTAGCGGCGCCTGCATATGGAGTCTGTATCTCCCAGTTGATACGATATTCCAGTGCTTGCAATTCCTATCACGATTTTCTTGATAGAGGGTTGCTGCTTACAAAAAAGCTATTGAATATAAACTCATCCTAGATTTATCAACAATTTCAAGCGGTGAAGTCGAACATTTTACGGACACAATTACGATTGTGTTGCCTGGTATGGAATGTCTATTAAACAAATGATGACGGGTATGTTCAAACTATCGTAACCACATTCCCGCTCTCTTTTTGTTGAATATGACCTATTGAACTAGACACCTCACCGGGTTTGTCAACTTCACCGGGTTTGTATACTTACATGAGCACCCCGAGGGGTGACACATGTGGAGGAGGATTTGCTTATCTTCGAGAGCATATATCATATCCCCAGTTTTGGTGAGGTTCGTGTTGATTTGATCAGTTTTGGTTTGTCTTCCCGTCGTTGTTCTTTTTTGCCATGGTGTTGTCATTTTGTTTTCGACTTTTTATCAAACGTCAATAAGAAGTATAATCTGGAAAGCTTACCTACTTTTGTAAATAATACCTTTATTTTTTTCTACTTTATTACACACAGGAGTGGTAATTATATAGTCTAAAGCTGAAATCGCCCCACTGTACGTTCATCAATTTATTCAATTTACTGTAAAATTTTACAGCTCAAAACCTCGCGGTGTAATGTTTCCTATATCTCTTGAAGTAATTCTTCTTTTAGATGATCGCGTAAAGCTAAAAATGCAGCCGTTGTTATTTGCATGACACGTATTTCCCCGCTATTGGCAAACTTTCCGATTTACGACTGCTTAGACCCAGTCGGGAATTTTCGACCAATATTTCTTGTAAATCGTAAATCGTAAATATTTGTGAAAAGGTCGCATATCGTAAACATGGTCGTATGACCTCTTTCACGATTTACGACTTTTTGTGAAACGGTGGCCAGATAAGTATAATATTAAATCAATCAAATGAGACCTAAAAGATTTGTCGTTAACAGGAAAAGAACAAAATTAGATAAATCCAACAACACCGTAAATATAAAAATACGAAGATGTGGTATGATTGACAATGAGACGACTTTTCTGATTTTCTATAGGTTATTTAGCATATTGCTTTTGCAACATTTTCATATTATTTCGATCACTGGTATAGAAAGGGAACATAATTTGTCAAATTCTATATGTCAGTTATGTCTAAGTTATCCATAAGCATCAAGTTTAAGACCACTATCATTTAAAGTCTTATGACAAATATCTTCTTTTTCTTTTTAGATGAATTTTCCAGAAGTCAATTGTTTTCACATCATCTGATGACAGCCCATATACCATTTTTCCCAATGGAGAAAAAACATGTGAGACAATGTGTTAGAAATCAATTGCTAAGCAAGAAATATTACAGGGCCGGTGGGGCTATTGAAGATGAAGTAGTTGAAAATATAATGAGAGAACTGGATTTTTATCCGGATGATAATTCAATATTTTCTCCATTAGGATGTAAAAGGGTTTCTGACAAAGTTGATCTTGTAATGAATGACTAAATGAAACTCAGTAATGTATAAACACAAATATTTAAATGCTCCAAGATGTTTATAGTTATCGCGTTTTTATTGTTGTGATATCTTCTCTTATGTGGGAAGCCCTGGGGTTAACTTGGGTACATATGTTCACAATTTTGTTATCTTCCAACAGTAATACCCATGGCGAAATTTGGTTTCCGTTTGACTGTGCGGGTTGAATAGGTACGTCCGGCCAGAATTGGTACGTTGACCCAGATGTCTTGTACAGAGATAGTGTCAAATTCATCAAACGAAGTTTTGGCTGAGTGAAATGGCATCTTAGTTTCTTAATAATTTATACATTCATTATTGGAATTTTTTTTGAAATATTATAAAACATGTCAGTATCAACGCACTAGCTACTGAGTTAATGATACCTTCCGGGACTGAAAGATCGCCAGAAAGTTACCCAACATATATCTTGATGTGCTAGTAGTTGTCTAAATATTTGTATTGTTCTGAATTTTTTATGAGATTTTCGGGCTATTGATTACAATATTTGCTGTATTCATTTTTATTCCTTTTTTGAACATCGGTATACTACTGTTGCCTTTGTCAGATATTCTTGATAATTTGTTGATACTACCCCACATATGTACAACCTCTAGCAAAGAATGCTGCTCAAACGGATTTAGGAGTAGTCCTGAGCTTGCTGTAGTTTTTGAGTTTTTGCACCATGTTAAAAAACTCACTTTCACTTTGATATGAATAACTGCAATAGCAGCGCTTTTAATTTCATTTTAGTTTTTTAAGTTCGCATTATCTTGAATTTTGAATTGATTCACTATGCCTTTCCTATTCCATTAGATTTTGTACTATGTTTCATGATTTTTACTTTTGTTGATACGCATTTTGTCTTGACTATAACCTTAAAAAAACGATTGTCACATTCTCTATATGTGCAATGATTATCAGTTACAAAACAGCTTAAATGGCGTTGTTTGATGTATCATTCATTTGAGATTTTAATTCTAGTTATCCCCCCACCGCACAACTTTTATTGAGCAGTTTTCACTTTTGAATTCATTAGTTTTTAACATACGAGAGTTAATTAACAGTGATTTCTGAAAACAATATGTATCAACCAATTCCATTGCCTTTTTTATTACCTTACCGAAAGGCTTTTTGCAATCACTTGGCGTCCGTCGTCCGTCGTCCATCGTCGTCGTTGACCTTTACAAAAATCTTCTCCTCTAAAACTACTGGGCCAAAATTAATCAAACTTTGACACAATTATAATTAAAGTAACTAATATAGAAAGGGTGGCCGATGACAAACTTTATCGACTTCATTAAAATGGGACAACGTGACATACAACCACACAACTTGTTTTAAATTGACAATCTAGCACAACCTTTAAGATGTGTATATCTTGCCTACAGTGTGCGGGACATAATGTTTTTGGTTCGTGGTCCATCCGTTTTTGCGTCCTGTATCAAGTGAAAATGTTTATCAAGGTATTTTAGTATGAAGTTGTAGTCACATCATATTCAAACTCATTACACATATTTATCATGATGTGAACTTCAGTAATTGTATGCCAGTGCAATGCTTAGAGCACTGATTTCACTATTCACTGAATATGGAAATTACGCCAATTAGCCATTTTCACCAATTTCACTGTTAAGTGAAAAAGGAAAATAATATTGTGAGCAGGCCATTGTGTCCTGTTGACATATATTCTTGTTTAAGTTATTGTTTTTCTACTTTTATTTTGATTTCATTTCTTATTTTCTAGAAAAGTGATTTCAGTGCCAAGTGATAGCTTTCATAACACTACTAATTTTATATGGTTTCTTCATATTTTTGCTTGAAATAAGGGAGATCATTTGCTACTTCAGATTTACAAAATATAACTTCCAGTTTCATTAAGGTTACTTCACAATGAATTTTTAAAAATACGGTTTCTATATGAAAATAAGGAGATGTGGTATGACTGTCAATAAATCGGTTTTCATGAAATATGTCCTTTTCATGAAATACGTGCAAAATGGCAACTTCAGGTTTGGTTTCATCAGACTGACATAGTTTAGAGTCATTTGTAGTCCAGTATAATGAAAAAGACCTTATAAATCATGTACCAGTATGAAGTTGAAGCAAATGCCAAAATGTAAAGCATCAAATTGACCTGTCACCTTGTCCTCAACTATTAAGGTTAAGATGATCTCCGCTTCGGTTCAATATTTAACAGATCATCCTGCAGATGTAACGAACATTATTGAGAAAAGCTTTACGCAATAACTTTTATGCTTTTGGAGGAGAAGCGATCACAAGAAAAATAGTATACGGAAAAATAACTCTCAAATGGAAAAAAATTGTTTGAAAAAGATGCCTTTTAAGAGCGTGTTCAAGGTGACAATTAAACTCACAAGTCGAAGAAAAACTGATTACACCATGACAAAAACAAAATAGAAAAACAACAGAAAAACGTACCATTCAACAACACACTGTTTACTCGCGTAGTGGTATTAACCATACATGTTGTACGTGGATTCTAAAAAAAACTCTAAAGAACTTCTGGATAATTTTAAATCTCGATCTTTCTCTGCAATTAATTCTTTCAAAACTTTTGATTTTTCAACACTGTATACCACCATTCTCCATGTGAAATAAAGAAAAAGAAATAATCCACAATGCTTTTCAAGATAAAAATGGTACCATGCGCTATAAATTTATTTCTTTGGGGTATCATATAGTGGTGTGACAAATCAAGAAAAAGTCGCTTATTTAAAGAGTTTAATGGACCAAAATACCTCATGGCTGAAAATTCTCATGATGATAGAGTAAACATTATACTTTCATTTTAGCCCTGTCGTAGAGTTTTCCCAAGGTGCAGTTTTTTGTAAAATCGCCATAAAGTGTGACTTTCCGATTTTTTTCTTTTTTATTTTTAAACATGGGAACGCTTATAATAAATTCCCGAATGAATAAACCACCAAACAGTTGTTATCAAATGAAACAGTTATGTATAAGCTTTTATTCAACATCAAACTTTAATATCGCATGAACATATGAATTGAGTGAAATAGACGATTTTCAAATGTATGTGACATGTTTTACAATCTTACCGTTTGTCAAAGTATATTACTTTTCTTATATATATCACCAGTAGTCAATTTGCCCAAAAAAAAGTGGCACAACTAATATGCAAGTGGTTTTAATATATAAAAGTTTGAAAAAGCATACAATATAACTTTTACGGGCCTTTTTATAATATTCATCATATAGCACTTTTACTATTCAATTTTCACCTCAATAAGTCGTATTGCGCTCCCTTTTCCTATTTTCCATTGACTTATGATTTGCTGTGTTTTTACAAAAGAATTAAACTGTGTATTTTCTTTATTTTCGTATATAAGAATATAAATTTATATCAATGTTTGTGTACAGATTTATGTTTTAGTAACTTTTGAGGTGTTTTATTTTCTTATTGATGTTTACGATGGCTCAAAATTTCAAATGAATATTATCCATCTCCTTCAGGAGTTTCTATCCCTACAGCTTTACAATTTATACCTACCTTTTTGATAAATTTTCTTGACAGGTTAATAGATGACAATTGTTTTCATATGAAAAAAGATAACAATTCACTCCCATGTGATACTGTACGGAAATGTATTGCTTTAAGCTGAGTGTGTGATATCCCTGCATAAAAACCAGTCCACTCCTTTTAGTTGAGCATTGGCTCTTGCGCGTCGTACACTGAGGCTAGAACATTTCTGACAGGTTTCTTCAACCAAAGACACAAGACGGTTTATACATGTACACGACATATGCAATGTTATTGGAACAGTGATGTCTAGCACACTACTAGCTGCTCACGCTCTAACGGGATGCGACACGACGTCTTTTTTCTTCGGAGTTGGCAAAAAGACAGTATATAAGGCGTTGAAACAACACCAATTCAGATATCAAAGTTTGACAAATCTAGCTGGTTCTGATATTGAAACATCCAAGACAATTTATCGCTGATCTATATGACCCCAAAGGCAAGGCTCAATCAGTACATGCTGATCTTAATAAGCTGATAGTGAAGTCAGCGCTATCTAAGGATGCTGCCTTAGTGAGACTACCTCCTTCAGAGGCATCATTCAGACAACACATTTTTAGAGTTTGACTACAAGTGTTAGTCTGGTTAAATGCTCATTTCGCCAAAACACCACTCAGATCACATCTGGGGTATGAATGGACAATAGGGAATAGCTCCATAAATCAAGTATATTTTGAAGGGCCAATGTCTTTTGACTTTTTACAGTACCTTTATTGAACATGCACAAGCATTTGTGGTTGTCAGGGAAGTGACGATTGTAGAAATCAGTTTACTTATCAGATTGTTTTAGAAGATTGCAACGATGAGGATGATGATTAAGTGTGATACTCAATGCCCAATATTTCATGTGTTTGCTGCAAATGGTTTTTTTTACTTGACGTGTAGAAGGAGGTTTTCTCTCTCTCTTAACAAAAAATTCAAAAAATTAAAAAATGAATTTTTAAATTTAGAATTAAATAATAAAAAAAAATGCCAGTGGTCTCCGATCTTGACGTTGTTAACATTGGTGGGGTTGTAAACCAACTGAAGACTTTTTCAAATATTTCGAAAGTATAGCATGACATCGAATCGATACATTTTTGTCTTAGTTTTCCGTTACCACTTCAAATGGACGTGCATATTGATGTCATGAGTTACAGAAATATAAACAAATATCTTCATTTTTATCACAGTCTCTGTGAATTGTGTTTGTTTGATATATATCGTGCTTTATAATCGTTTTAGGTCAAGAGTATGCTCTTTATTCCATTGTTTGTGTTGTTTCATAAAAAGGGGGACACATATTTTCAAAATGTTATTGCTCTCGTACTGATTGACCTATTATCATAAAATAAAATGCATATGCTATCATGTTCATTCCGAGATTTATGCATCAAGACTATTTTTTAAGTTCCAAAATTCTTTTGGGTTTAAAAAAATAATAATGAATTTCATCATTTTTTCATTGAATCATGGACTGGGTGTTAACTATATTGTACTTATTTCTCCTTTGTTCCTTATGGCATGTTAACAAAACTTTCCCAAAAATATTTTTATATGTTGTCATATATTATTGCACCACTAGATATTAAATATAAATATTTTTTGTCGATAATTTCTGTAGATAAAGATAATTTTTATCATTTTCTTCCATGTTGGATGCGGGGGTATTTATCACTAATCTCTGTCAATCTGGCATAAATATGACAGGCTGAATTTGTGCAACACTCCCAGAGCATG